TGGGAGGGAGTCTCAAGAGGGAGGGGATATGGAGGTATATGTATACATATAGCTGATTCATTTTGTTGTACATCAGAAACTAACACAACATTGTAAAGCAATTATACTTCAAAAAAGATGTTAAAAAAAAAAAAGGGCCACAGTTTGATTAGGTGCCATTTGATGCCAGTTCCCCACTGGCCTCATTTTCCCTTTAATGTATTTCATCTTGAAACCTCTTCATTCATTCCTGGATTATGAAAGAAAATACATCACTAAATTGTTTAAGCTGAATTCCTGGCTTTTTGTGCTGTATATTCCATTTTTTTGCCAGATATTCTAGTGGCTTTCCTCCTGTTAGCAGAATTCATGGTAGAAAATTGGTAATTAATTCATTTTATATTTGCCCCTGCTTTAAAAAAGAAAACCCAGTGGGACAGAGATATTCAAAGATTGTTTTATTTCTGAAATTTTAGCAGAAATAAGCAAGGTGATTAGTTTGAAATGTAATTCATAGTCAATGAGTTAAAAAGAAATAACATCAGTTACTGATTACAGCTAGCTCAACTAGCCCCCTCAAATGTAATTAGCTTTCGAGGTGATTCCAAGTGGCTTCTTTGTGCTTAAATTTGCAAAAATTTTCCAATGCTGTTTCAGTATTTCAAATAGTATTTAAGGAGTTTACTTGCAACATTTATCTGAGTTCATATGCACATATGTATATTTCTGAGCTAATGGAGATAATATATATGCATTAAAAAGGGCAATTCCACTCCTGGGTATATATCACAAAAAAACCCCAAAAAACGCTATGTTGAGAAGATGCATGCACCCCAGTGTTCATAGTAGTAGTATTTACAATAGCCAAGATATGGAAGCAACCTAAGTGTCCATCAACAGGTGAATGGGTAAAGATTCTGTGGTGTATACATACAATGGAATATTACTCAGTCTCATAAAAAAGAACAAAATTTTGCCATTTGCGACAACTTAGATGGACCTGGAGGGTATTATGCTTAGTGAAATAAGTCAGACAGAGAAAGACAAATACTGTATATCATCACTTATATGTGAAATCTAAAAAGTAAGACAAACAAATGAGTATAACAAAACAGAAACAGACTCACATACAGAACAAACTAATGGTTATGAAAAGGGAAGGGGGTGGGGCAATTTAAGGGTGAGGAATTAAGAGGTACAAACTACTATGTATAAATAAGCTGCGAGGATACATTGTACAGCAGAGGGAATATAGCCAATATTTTATAATAACTTTAAATGGAGTATAATCTATAAAAATTTTAAATCACTGTGTTGTACACCTGAAACTAATATAATATTATAAATCACCTATACCTCGACAAAAGTAAAGGAGGATTAGTTAAGTTAATAGTGTTGGGTTAAGTTAATAGTTTTGACCTTTCTAGTGTTACAGGAAGGTGAAGTTTTAGTTCTGTGGTTTACTTTTCTTTTTTGACCTATTTTGCTTATAATCTGTATAAAAGTCACAACTGAGCATTTAAAAATATATGTAAGTAACTACGTTGAGACTGTAACTTTTAAAAAATGTTATTCTTGATATTTGTTTTTTGTCAGTATGGTATTGCAAGTCTAGAAAATATAAGAGACTGAATGAAGACAAGTTGCAGGGCAAGTTCAAAATGTGAACTGAACATTAAAAGTTTCTGCATGGTGTTTGCAGCTATTCCATGGTCAAGCTGCAGCCAGACTTAAGAAAGCATTCCTGTTGCAATTCTGTTGCCTTTATCACTACTTAAAAATTGTTTTATTATGAAAAATATTAAATATGTACAAGAGTGGAGAAAACGGCATAAAGAATCCCCACCTACCCTTTATCCAGTTTTCCCAGTCATAGTTCATGGCCAATCTTGTTTCATTCATACTCCCACCCGGTTCTTCCGCTTCGCTTCAATCCATCATTTTGAAGCAAATCCCAGACATAATCTCATTTCAAATGCGTATATTTTCGTATGTATTTCTGAAATACAAGGACCCTTAAAGACTTAGAACCACAATACCATTATCATGCTTTAGAAATTAACAGTGATTCTCTATTATCATATATCCAATCAGCGTTTCATATTTTCTGTCTCATAAGCAGTTATTTTTAATAGCAGTTTGTTTGAATTAGCAGCTAAACAAAACCTGCACTTTGATATGTCTCTTAAGTCTCTTAATTTATAGGTGCCCTCTCCCCTTTTTTTCCCCTCCGATTGCAATGTATTTGTTGAAGAAACTGCCATCATTTGTTCCGTGGAATTTGTAACATTCTGGATTTAGCGTATTGCCTCCCTGTGGTATTATTTAATATGTTCTGGTGTTTTCTGTATTTGATGTAAACTGGTAATAAAGTGCTTGGTTAGATTCAAGTTTAATTTTCTTTTTTATTTGACAAGACTGCTTCAAATAAAAAAGCAGCCCATCAGCTTTTTGTGTATATCCATCAGGAATTAGTCTCCCTTTCTGTGATGTTAAAATTGATTAGTAAGTTCTAGGCACCTGATTTAGCCTGATCCATCCATTATAAAATACCCCATCAGCTTTTCACCTAATAATTTCAGCAGCCATTTATGATCTTTGCTTAGATCTATTATAGCAAGAAGGAGAGATACTATTTTTTAAAGTAATTCCTAAGAGTTGGGATTTAACCGAGTGATATAGCTGTGTGTGACTCTCCTGCTAAGTTTGGTGGTTGAACATTCTCCTTTAAAGCCAAGTCATGAAGAATCTTTACTGAGCTAAGAAGTATATAACATCAGCTTAGAAGCTCTGTGAAAAGAAGAAGCCCCCAGTGACCCAGTCATCCTTCTGTGGGGTTGGCATTCTCACGAGGCAGATTCACAGGCCCAAACCTAAAAGGGATAAGATGACTTTTTTGTTTTTATCTTTGATAAATAACAAAGCTTGGACTTCATCAAACTTTCAGTATATACTGCACTATCTGTACATTCATATCTTATTTAAAATAACAACAGGGAGGGGAGTGTTGAGAAACACCATTGAAATATCTGACCCATTTCTCTGTTGGGGTTTGAGAGCAGAGGCAGTGAATAATCCCCATCACTGAGCCTTTCCTGATCATTGCTAGTGATTTTTCCACTGCCAACGTTGGAGGAAGAGGAGGAAAGGGAAGGAGATAAGTTGGAAAGGGCTGAGAGGGGTGTTCTAAACCAGAGCTACTTACTGAGAGGAATTCAGGGTGAATTGACTCTTAACATTGGAAAGTAGCCTAGAAATTATCTGATCCAACTTCTTTGTGCATCCAAGGTTTCCTCCAAAAGGATCTTGGTGATGAGGGAGCTCTTCTCTTCACATTCTGAACCCTCATGGCACTCATCTCCTTCTGCCTCTTTAATTCTGTGTATCTTATTTTCACTATTGGATTTTACATTCCTTGAGGGCAAGGGATTTATCTATTTCTCTGGTTTAGTCCCATGAAGAGTGTCAAAGATAAACACAGCTGGACATTAGTTAGAGCAATAAGAACACACTTTATTCAGTAACTACTGACAGTTCAGGAAAGAGCTGAGCTCCATTCTGATTTGCGCAGGGTTGACTGGGTATTTTAAAGAGAGAATGGGAGGTGCGGCAAAGGGGCCTCGGCAGAGTCAGAGAAGTAAGAAATTACAAAGGATTGATCGTCTGAGTGCATTTAGGCTGTGTCTGCTGGCTGGCAGTTATCAGAGTTAGGATTCTGTCCTCCCACAGTCTGGGAGACAGGCCCCTTCCTCTGATGATTACATTTTAAAGGAATGACTCTCAGGTCCTTGAGAAAGACAGTTCTGAGTTGTAAGAGATACATATTCCCAACTGTAAGTCCTTTGTAGTAAGTGCTCTAAGAAAGGGAGGTCAGGGGCCTTTTTGTCAGGGATTAACTAGAAAAAGGTAAATTCTCCTGGCAATGATGATCTTTCTCAGGCAGGCATTTTAGTGGAGGGGCTGGGGTCATCCCAGGAACATGGCTTTATGCTGCTAAAAGCCATACTAGAGTTTGGCCATCCCCTAGTGCAGAGGTTTGGATGGAGTTTGTTATATGCTGAAAGTTCTGCAGTTTTCAAGGGTCTAGAACACAAGTTAAAGAATTTGTGTTTACTGAACAAATTTAAGTAAATTTAGTTTCCTCTACACTGAAAGGAAGGGGTCAGTTAGAATGCCTTAGTGCCTAGACACAGCCAGGAAACAGGAGTAACATCCCCATTCATAAGTTTCCTTCCCTAGGTCCACCTGGATATTCTTACTATCAAGGACAGTTGTTACTTCCCTCCTCTTAAAGGCTAGCCTCTCAATTTGTAAGAGACTTTATCTCCTTACCACAGATATTTTGATTTTTTTGAAATAGTTCAAAATGGATCAGTCTGGGGCTTACCTGGTGGCGCAGTGGTTGAGAGTCCGCCTGCCAATGCAGGGGTCACGGGTTCGTGCCCCGGTCCAGGAAGATTCCACATGCTGCGGAGCGGCTGGGCCCGTGAGCCATGGCCGCTGAGCCTGCACGTCCGGAGCCTGTGCTCCGCAACAGGAGAGGCCACAACAGTGAGAGGCCCGCGTACTGCAAAAAAAAAAAGATCAATCTATTATAAAATGGTTAATATTTTCATATCTACTGCAGGATTTGGGGCACTATTAAAAAGGGACAGGTCAAATGTCTCTTACCCAGGGAATAGTACCCAACAGGGCAGCATTTCATGTCATATGCTTTCATCTATACCATTTATCTCAGTTGTTATGCATTTATTTATGATAATTTTTAAATATAGGTCATGGAAACTCTGTCTTATTCATCATTGAAAGGCCAGCACTTACCACAGTGACTAGCAGCTATTAAATAGATTCCAAAATGATCAACTTAATGACTAAATGAATAAATGACTTTCCATCTTACCTTGTCTTTTCTATAACATTGATAGTATAGAAGTGCTATTTAATAGAAACGTGGTGAATGAATGTTTACAAAATGTCATGGATCTCGAGTTATGTTTCAGTGACTCTTCTTCTCTTTGTAGATTCCTTACCTATTCCTACCTCTTGGCCTTCAACGTGTGGCTTCTGCTTGCACCTGTTACCCTGTGCTATGACTGGCAGGTGGGCAGTATTCCTCTGGTAGAGACCATATGGGACACGCGGAACTTAGCCACCATCCTTCTGGCAGTTGTGATGGCCTTACTGAGCCTTCATTGTTTAGCAGCCGTCAAGGTAATTTTCTTAAGATTCAAATGAATTCTACATTTCAAGAGAGATACTCTATACTCAGTAACTGTTTTTTTTGCAAGGGGGTGTGGGTCTAAATTGTATTTACTCGTTCATCTAAACAACTTTGTGTATTTAAAAATTTTCCAGAAAGGTAATATATATTTTAAAGATCTTAACGGGGTTAATAGACCAAGGTTACAATGTTTGCAAATGAGAAATTTTTTTCTTGCAGTGGTTGACTCATTTTTGACCTAATTCGTTTGATTTCATGTAATGATAAATGAGATAATGATAACATGTTCATAAGTGCTTAAATATGGTTAAGATTCTGCTTACACTAATAAATGCCTGCCTGAGTTGGTTGGGTGATTCTCACTTCAAAAAAAAATAATAGTACAAAACTTTATTTAAAGTTTTAATATTGGGAACTTGGAAAAATATTGGAACGTGGAAAAAATTATTAAATGTAACCATTTCAAAAATGATCAAAGACAGCAAAGAACTTGAAAATATTTACTTACTAAAAACTGCTACTGCCTTGTGTAAGATGCTTCTTGCCTGAGAATATTCCCATCCCCCCAGATCTAGTGTTAAAAACTCACAGGTTTACTGGCTGGAGGTGGCTGATTTGGTTTGGGAGAGTAGCAGAGCAGCTAGCAATTTAAGGGGTAGATTTTGGAAGCAAGAGAGCTGTAGAGGGCTGAGATAATACACTCTCCGTGCATTCACGGATGAATGAGAAATTCATTAAGTCTCTGGGGAGACTTATTTGCTGCAAATTTGAATGAATTCTTCAACACAAATGCAGGTTGGGCGGCAGAGGGTGGAAGCTTCACTGGCTTTAGTTGTCTGTATATAACCTCTGTTGAAATCATTGGCTGATCATAAAGCTATGCAAGAACAAGAGAGATTCCCCAGAGATCCAGGCAAAAGAAAGAAAGAAAGAAAGAAAGAAAGAAAACCACACTGAGCAAAAATTTCAGCTCTCTACCTAAAAAGAGATTTTTCAGTTTGAATCCAGGCAAGTTTATCATATATTAAAACAGGAAACCATCAAATTTCAGAATAACAAAATAGAATAGAGAGTCACTATAGTGTATGACACACAATGCCGGGTTTTTAATTAGATTACTGGACATGTAAAGAAATAGGTGACCCAAAGTCAGGAAAAAGTAGTCAGTAGAAAATGGAACAGAATTCACATTCCAAAGATAAACTCACATTTACAAGCTTAACTGATTTTTAACAAAGTTACCAATGTAATTCAATGGGGAAACATAAGATACTGAAATAACTAATTACCTGTAAGGGAAAAATGTGAACATTAACCCTTAACTCATACTATACACTTAGAAAGTATTTCTAAGTGGATCATAGTCCTAAACAAAAGAGTTAAATAACACCAAAAATTCTAAAAGGAAATAGAAAATCTTTGTGAACTTGTGTTAAGCAGAGATTTCTTAGGATACATAAAGTGCAAATTATGAAAGAAAATGTTGATAAACTGGACATCATCAGGATTAAAAACTCTGTTCCTCAAAAGATAATGTTAATTAAATCAAATGGCAAGCTACAAATTGGGAGAAAATATTTGCAAAACATATACCTACAAAGGACTTGTGTCTAGGATATTTAAAGAGCTCTGATAATTCAATAATTAGAAGGCAACTCATTAAAAATGGACAAAAGATTCAAATAGGCACTTCACAAAAGAAGATATACAAAGGGTATAAGTACATGAAAAGATGCTCAGCATCATTAGTCATTAGGGAAACTCAAAACCACGAAAAAGAACCACTGTACACTCTATAGAATGACTGTGATTAAAAAGGTTCACAATACTAAGTGTTGGCTAAGAATGTGGAGCAACTGGAAGCCTCATACATGACTGGTGAGAATGAAAAATGGGTCAGCCACTTTGGAAAAATTCAGCAGTTTTGTAAGAAGTTAAACATAAAAATAAGCAATTCTGCTTCTCAGTATCTACTGAAGAGAGATGGAAACATGTCCATACAAGAGTCTTACAAGTAAATATTCATAGCAGCTTTATTTATACTAGTTGAAAAATAAAGATCATCTAGTGACCTCACCTTGGAAATGGATAAACTTAATGTGGTAAATTATTGAAAATTTTAAAGGAACAAATAATTTACTGATACGTAAAACAACAAAAATGAACCTCAAATACTTACCAAGTGAAAGAAACCAGGCATTTAAGATCAAATACTGAATAATTCCATTCATATGAAATGTCTGTCATTATAATTCTGCCTTTTCTAGAATTTTATATGGCTAGAAAAGGCAGAATTTTAATGACAAAACCTGGGGTTAGGAATTGACTGTAAAAAAGACTTGAAGGAACTTTTGGGGGTGTGAAATGTTGTCTAAAATTTGATTGTGATTTTAGTTGCTGGATTATATGTACATTTACCAAAACTCATCAGAATATACACATAAAATGGGTGAATTCTATTGTATGTGAATGGTATCTCAATAAAGGTGTGTTTTAAAAAAAGATTAAAATGTTACAAATAGATTAAAGGCTAGAATGAATACAGAACTTAAAGTAGAATATAAAACACAATATGTGATCCTGAAAATCTGATGAAAAATTTTTTTGTTTTTTTATTTGAGGTGAAATTTGCATAACGTACAATTAACCATTCCAAAGTGTAAAATTTAGTGGCACTAGTGTGTTCACAATGTTGTGTACTTACCTGTTCTATTTCAGAGCTCTTTCATAATTTCATTAAAAACACCTCATACCCATTAAGTAGTGACTCCCAACTCTCCCTACCCCATCCCCTTGTAACCTCTGATCTGCTTTCTGTCTCTATGGATTTGCCTATTCTGGATGTAAAATAAATTATACAATAAATACAGTAATACAATATGTGACCTTTTGTGTCTGACTTCTTTTACTTTGCATAGTATTTTTGAAGTTCATCCAAAGTTGTACTGTATATCAATACTCTTTTCCTTTTTTGACTGAATAATATTTCGTTGGATATATACCACAGTCGGTTTATGCATTCATCTGCTGATAAACATTACGGCTGTTTCCACCTTTTGGCTAATATGAATAATGCTACTATACACATTGGTGTACAAGTTTCTGTGTTGGACATACTTTTTCATTTCTCTTGGTTATATACCTAGGAGTGAAATTGCTGGGTCATATGGTAATTCTGTTTAACTTTTTGAGGAACTGTTTTTCACAGTGGATGCACCCTTTTATTTTTCCACCAGGAATGTACAGGGGTTCCTATTTCTCTACATCTTTGCCAATGTTTGTTATTTTATATTATTTTATTTAAAGCTGTTCTGGTGGGCATGAAGAGGTATCTCACTGTGGTTTTGATGTGCATTTCCTTAATGATCAGCGATGAACATCTTTTCATGTGCCTTTTGGCCATCTGTGTATTTTCTTTGGAGAAATGTCTATTCGGGTCCTTTGGTTATTTTAACAAGGTGTTTTTTGGTTTGTTGTTTTTATAAATTTATTTATTTATTTATTTTTGGCTGCATTGGGTCTTTGTTGCTGCACGTGGGCTTCCTCTAGCTGTGGCAAGTGGGGGCTACTCTTTGTTGTGGTACGCGGGCTTCTCACTGCAGGGGCTTCGCTTGTTGCGGAGCACAGGCTCTAGGCACACGGGCTTCAGTAGCTGTGGCACATTGGCTCAGTAGTGTGGTTCGTGGGCTTAGATGCTCCGTGGCATGTGGGATCTTCCCGGATCAGGGCTCGAACACGTGTCCCCTGCATTGGCAGGCGGATTCTTAACCACTGCGCCACCAGGGAAGCCCCTCTGGTCATTTTTTTTAATTGGGTTGTCTTTTTGTTGTTGAATTGTAAGAGTTCAGGATATTAAATTCCCAACAGATAGATGATTTGGAAATATTTTCTCCCATTCTTTAAATTGTCTTTTCACGTCCTTCAATGCAAAAAAGTTTTTAATGGTCTAATTTATTGTTTTCTTTTGTTTTTCATTGCTTTTGGTGTCAAATCTAAGAATCCATCGTCACATTCGAGGTCATAAAGATTTCCCACTCAGTTTTCTTCTAAGAGTTTTACAGTTTTAGCTCTGATGTTTAGGTTATTGATCTATTTTGACTTAATTTTTATATGAGCACAGATTTCATCTTCTTGGTAAGGGCTACCATAACTACCCTATTTAAAACGCAATCACATACCCTCTGCTCCACATCTTACCTCCCTTTAAATTAACTTTTTCTTCACTATACTTCCAGTTTCTAAAATGCTATATAATTTTGTTATTTTATGTAATGTCTGTTTCCTCCAACTAGAGCATAAACCCCACGAGGACAGAGATTATTTTCTGTTTTGTTCAATGCCATATTTCTAACACCAAGACTTTGTCATATCCAATATTTATTAGCTAAATTTTATTGTTTGCCACTCAATATACATTATCTAAATGAATAAGATCATAAAAAGTTAGAAACTCTTTTTCGATTTTGGTATGCAGAACCTTTTGCTTAAGTGAACTATATTTAAAGCCTAAAAAAAGACTGTGCTCAATACTGGTGTGAAATGTCTGGGAGTCAATATGAGGTTTGTTTTATTAGCCTTTCAGTGTGGTTTGACGTGCCTGCTATACTGGTATTGATCTGCAAGAGCAAATGTAGTAGAGTGCTGGACTGGTATGTCAGGAAGGGGTTTTCTTGACACTCTCCCAGCTAACTAAAGGGAGTGCTGAGTCCCCACAGTCTGTCACCTTGGTCAGGTTATGTTAAAGTTGGACCTTCATGCTGGCAGTAAACCCCTGCACATAGGCAAACCTTGGCCATCCCCAGAGTGTCTGTGGTAACATGATGAATGAATGGAAACTTCCTTGTTGGAAGGCTGTTAATCCTTTTCTTTCATGGAATTTGTTCCAAAATCACTTTACTGCATCAGGAAAAACACTAGCAAAGCATTCCAACTGTGGTGATAGTAAGATTTAGCTCTTCTGTGGTGGCTTTCATCTTGAAAATTCTTTGCA